TTGTATGGTCCTCTTTTAGTTCTAAGTTTTTTATAATTTTTATTAGTCATGGTTTCTAAAAATAATTCTCTTAGGACTGGATTGTTCTTTTCTTAATATTATAATGGCTTAGTTATAAATCTAATATTTGGGGTTATTTTTGGTAGTTCCCTACCTTTGAATGGTCAAAGGCTAAAATGAAGAAATAGCCTCCTATTTAAAGCTATTTTCATATATTCCCCCCTATGATATCCTCGTGTACCACGTGTCAAGGAAGAGGGCCCACACGTAATATACGCGTCTAAGTTTCTGCTTTACCTCCATGCATTAAACCCGGATCTATCCACTCTTAATAGCATTCATTCGTTTTAGCGCAAATTTTGGAGAGCTTTTCAAGGTGACCCAATTCCTCCTTTTTCTATTTCACACGCTGCTCATTTGATCTTTCTTTGTAAAATATTAACTGGATCTGGTTTTGGCACTAGTTATATGCCGTGAGTCGATTTATATGCTACCGATCATGCGTTTCAGGGTCAATCTTGATTAATGTTTTTAGCTTCTTTATTTTGGTTGGAATGCTTGATAACGCCTTTAGATTTCTGGGTTTGACCAAAACATGGGAGTTTTTCTTTTTCTTGGTTGTGGAGAAGTAGTGTGTCAATTTGCGTGTGTATATGGTTATCAATTACGTGATCCTTTTATGATAAATGAGAATACTTCAAGGTGTAATTAATATTTCTGTTTATTTAGAGACGGTGGCCCTGTTAGGGATTTGAGTAATTTCTTGTGATTTGAGTTCGTCACAATTCCTTTTTTTTTTCTTCCTTGGGATTGGATTAGGAAGAATGATTGATGGAAATTTTGTATGTCGGCTGTTATTTTTTTATATACTTCTTTTAATAAAAGATCTATCTATAGCAGCAAATTTGGATTTTCCGACTAAATTTATGCTGAATGAATTACCTTTACGAGAAATTGAAGGGATGATGATTTTTTTTTGTTGAATCCAGTATCAATTAATTTTAAATGGTCTAATTGCACAAAATCAAAGGGGACATTTTTATGTAAAACTATTTAATCTCCCTACAAACAAAGGAGGAAATTGGGCTGTACCCTTTTTAATCTAGACTAGATTGATTAAATTTGAAAAATCTGCGCATTTTTTAACACGGTTAACTGTTAGTAATTTTTCATGCTACGAACATGCGCTAGATTTCTTTTTTTCCTATACCTCTCATCCTTCTTGAGGTCTTCCTGATTCCCCAACCTGTTCTTTGGCCTCATTTATTTGGTTTCTTCGAATTTAAATAATGTTTTTCTTTATTAGCATGTTTTCGTTTGTGTGTGCTTTGTCAAAGTTGTGCAGCTCAATAGGAAGCCTAGTCGTGTCTGTACGGTAATTGAAGAAAAAAATTTACAAGGTACCTCACCTAGGTTCACACGTAACACCAGCATTCTTGCTGCAGATTGTAAAATTTGTGTGTTCAATTATGTAACCTTAGGTACAGAAATGGTCGGGAAACTTCTGGTCTTTATTGCTGATTTTTATTACATTTTCTGGTTATTCTGTTTGAAAAATTCACTACCGCAACATGGAATCATCAGAATATTATCAAAAAAATTCGCCTAATTGTGTTGCGTTTCTATGTGTTTCCCTTTGCTGATTCATTGGTATGCATATTGCATCTAGCCTTACAGTCTCATGGTTATCTTTTAGGTAATTCTATATTTGAATTGAAAAAAATGGGTGGTGGAAATGACAAGGACGATGAACATGACAAAGGGCTTTTCTCTCATCACGGCCACTATCCTCCTGGACAGTATCCCCCGGCACAGTATCCCCCAGGACAGTATCCACCGCCTGGTGGAGGCTACCCTCCACAGGGGTATCCACCATCCGGATATCCCCCACAGGGGTATCCTCCATCTGGATATCCCCCACAGGGATATCCTCCATCAGGGGGATATCCTCCATCAGGATATCCACAACACGGGTACCCCTCTGGTTCATCTGGACATCACTCAGGTACTGTTGCTAATATTGAATTTGTTTGATTTTATTTTTGATTTCTGTATGCTAATATATAGAAAAGCTCTGTAGCACGGTCACTTCAATTAGAATAGCGTGTCCGTGTCAGATACGAGTCGATACCGACACTTGTCGGACACTCTACCGTAATTATTTTTCTTTTCATATTAGAAATATTATATATTATTAATTCAAATATAACAAGTATAAAACTAAATTTAGTAAGAATTTAATCAATGTTTCGATAATATGTACTGCCTGTACTTTTTTTAAAAATTGCGTGTCGACGTATCCAACACGTGTCCGTGTCGGTGCATCGTAGTAGAAAAGTAACTCACGTGTCGGATGCACGTGTTCGTGTCGATGCATCATAGTAGAAAAGTAACTTAGACCACACTTTCATGTGAAGGAAAATTTGTCACTTTAGTTTTGTAGTGTGAAACTGGCGTGTCTAGGTACAATGAAGTAGCCTGGCTTAACAGGCTTTTTAGAATATTTTCTCTGCTATTCTTTTATTTGCCTTTGTGCTCCACCTCAAAAAGTTTCCGATGATGAGTTCTTTTCCTTTTGTTTTGTTTTTTTTTTTTTAATTTTGAAATTTTCACTAGATAGATAGTTCTTTGAAATGAAAGATATGGATGCCATTTCGATCTCAGCTTCTGACAATGTGGATGAATTTGACGAATTTGACACGTGAAGAATGGATTATGATTTATGATATCTATCTTTGATTTATTTTAAATTATCCTTGGCATGTGGGAACTGGGAAGCATTATTGCTTGGTATGAATGATACATCTTTCTGGGCATCTAGTGTGACTTTTAGATGAAACTGAGGTCCAGAGTAGAATTGACTGGCTCATGCGATATCCTCTGTGTCATAGTCATTTTATGGTTAATTTTAGTTGTTCTGTCGTGATCCTACTAAAGGAGAGTATTTCTTCTTGTGAAAGAGTCCTTGCCTCGACTCTCATGCTTTTACCTATGACTTTCAGGACATGGATCTGGTGTAGGAGCAATGCTGGCTGGTGGTGCTGCAGCTGCAGCAGCAGCCTTTGGTGCTGGCCACATGGCCCACGGTGCTGGCCACTATGGCCACGGTGCTGGCCAATATGGCCACGGTGCTGGCCACTATGGTCACGGAGTCGGTCATTATGGTCATGGCAAGTTTAAGCATGGCAAACATGGAAAGTTCAAGCACGGAAAATTTGGCAAGCATGGCAAGCATAAGGGACACGGAATGTTCGGAGGGAAATTCAAGAAGTGGAAGTGATCCATATTACAAAATATGTCTAACAATATGTTTCTTAGTTACTGGCTTTTATGAATAATCTGAAACATAGTAAAGCAGACATGTCTGCTAGTCTTATTTTCTTTACTTTTTGAGTGGGTATATGTTATGTTTGATGAACCCTTTAATGGCTGGCTAGTATTATCTTGTTAGTCATTGACATGTCTGCGGGTATCTAGAACCTGCCTTCATCGGAGAAAATGTTGAATTTACAATGTCATATATTAGAATTCGAAGATTAGTTTTTGCAGGCATTGATGTGCAAAACCACTATAGAGAATTCATTCTNTTTTTGCAGGCATTGATGTGCAAAACCACTATAGAGAATTCATTCTTGTGTGTTGAATGAGTAAAGATTGTTACTCGTATAATAGCATGTATTGTCAATCGAGTAAGATTGTTCTTCTTAGATATTGTAGCGAATAAGATTACTTGAATCCGTTGATGTAAATATTGCAAATTGACAATTAGAAATTTGTGACAATGCGTTCGATTTCATTTTTCAATTTCAATTTTTTGTTGATTCTTCCAAAAAAAATACCCTTCTTTTCTAAATATTCTCGTCTACAGTAACACTAAAGGTTCAAGTAAATGTAATTGTATCTCTCATTTGACGTGATCTAGAATTGTATTATAACACCAACGGTGGTAAATAATGCATCACAATCATTTGCGTGATTAAATTATCATATTTTTAAGAAATCAGTGGAAAACATTTTATTTTGACAAAAGAAGTAGAATCCAGAAAAGTTCCCAACCGCAAGATTATATAAATAGGGCAACTGAGCAGTGTCTAAAATTAAAATATATGACACCATTGATTGTCCTTAAGAAAAAAGGACTAATTTTGAAAATCATATTAATGTTAATTCTAAAAAAAAAAATGATTCAGACATGACACGGGAAAAATAAATGTTCAAACTTCATTTTTAACCATATATTTTTAGGAGATACCCTACAAATTATTGCACTAGAATGTTTGCAACTTTCTTCACTAAAATATCAATGCATAATAGCTATACTGTCAAAATATTTTGCTGATGTTTATTTTTTTTTATAGAATCCTATATTCTACGAGGTTTTTTTTCTAGGAAAAATGTTCGAAAACTTATGAACCAAATTCTTTCTGGTTAAAGAATCTCTTTCTAGTCGCTTTATAGTGAGAAAGGAGAAATTCGAGTTATCTATTTACCTGAGATGAGACCAACATCTATAAGACTGTAACCAGCTGGCTTCTTCAGCTGTTTCTCCTGAATTATGGTTCTCAAATTCACAGCTTCCTCCCACCTTCCAGCCGCTACATACATATTGCACGAGGCTACATAATAACTAACATTTTCGGGTTCTAAAGAAAAGAGAATGTCAGCAACTCCTCGTCCCATGTTGAGATCCCCATGATAGTTGCAAGCACTCAGAAGGGCGCCCCATATGCCGGGATCAGGTTGAATTTCGAGCTTCTTGATGAAATCGTAAGCCTCATGGAGCCTTCCCAATCGACCTAACATATCAACCATACACACGTGATGCTCAGTGGTAGGATGTACTCCATATTTAGTAAACATATGGTTGTAATACCAGCAGCCTTCATCAACCAGCCCCGAGTGGCTACAAACTGAAAGGAGGTTTACAAATGTGCTATTGGTTGGACTAATTCCAGAATCGATCATTTCATGAAACGTTTCAATTGCTCGTTGAGTGTTGTTATGAAATCCATAAGCAGATATTAAGGAGTTCCAGGCTGAAACAGACTTCTCCGGTGAGCTATGAAAGACCCGTAGAGCTACATCTAACCTGCCACAATTGCTATACATGTCCAAAAGAGCAGCAGATACATAAGGGTTTTTATTGAAATCAAACCTGAAAACATGTCCATGTATTTGCTTTCCATATCTTAGGATTCCGAGTTGGGTACAAGCTGAAAGAACTGTAGAAATGGTGATATCATTTGGTTCAAAATCTATAACGCGAAATAATTCTAGCGCTTTCTTAGCATCCTCATTCTGTGCGAAAGCTGATATCAAGCAGTTCCAAGAACACAAATTGTGATTGTGACCATGATAGAATATCAATCTTGCACTCTCAGTATCCCCAAATCTGCCATACATTGTTAGGAGTGAATTCTGTACACGAATATCAATAACTGCTGGAGTTTTAAGAGCAAGGCCGTGAATTAACTTCCCCTGCAATGCCAATTCAAGATTCCCACAAGCTGAAACAACGCTTACTAGGGTAATTGAATCATAACCGACGTGGGATTTCTGCCTCATGAAGTTGAAGAACTCTAAAGCTTCCCAGAAATGGCCATTCTGTGTGCAGCCAGTAATGACAACGTTCCAACTAGTAACGTCAGCTCTAACAGAAATTCTGCATAACAATGTAGAAGCAGACAGCAAATCTCCACAATAGATATACATATAGATGAGGGAATTTGATGCCAAGATATCGTTTAAAAATCCCAATTTCTGATGCCAACCATGTATTGATCTTCCAAATTCAAGTGACTCAGGGGAATCACAAGAAGGAAGAATTGCCAACAGAGTTGGCAAAGTACACGTTGAGCACCAGCTGAGTAATTTCTTAAATAAATTTTGAGCTTCCCAAGATCGCCCGTTCTGTGCATATCCAGATATCATAGTGTTATATGTCACCAAATCTTCCTTTGGCACAGTCCAAAACAGATACTCAGATTTCTCGACATTATTGCATTTGAAATACATATCCATGAGACAATTAACTACTGATAGTTCAGATCCCATCACTCTCCTAATGATGAAGCCATGAACTGATTTCCCTTCTCGTAGAAGCATTAGTTCCGAACATATTGGAAGTAATGTAACTATAGTAGCGATATCAGGTTCGACTGATCTCACAAACTGCATATCGCGCAAAAGATTAAATGCTTCCTGAAGTCCTCCATTCAAAGCAAACCCCTTGATCATGGCATTCCAAGAAACCACATTTTTAACCTCCATTTCTTCAAATAAGCATTCTGCAGTATTAATATCTTTGAATTGAGAATAGAACGAAATGAGAGAGTTTGCAACTGCAATGTGATGGCTCTCAACACATCCCAATTTGATTCCCCATCCATGAACTGCCAAACCAACACCAAACTCTTGCAAACAAGTACATGCTGCAATAGCACAAGAAATTGTTACCCCATCAGCTTGGTTTTCCCTACAATTCATCTCTTTCAAGTACCATAAAGACTTCTCATAATGGTTATTATACAAACAACCACTTATAATTGAATTCCAAGACACAATGTCTCTATGTTCCATTTCGGCAAAAAGGAACTTTGATGAGCTCAAGTGGCCACATTTTGCATACATATCAATCACTGCATTACTCAAGAAAGTATCTGAAAGCATCCCTGCTTTGATACTCAATCCATGAATAAGTTTACCTTGCACAAGTCTTCTCCCATTAGACAATGCTGAAATAAAAATAACAAGGGTTGTGGGATCAAATTCAATTCCCTCACCGATCATTTTCACAAAGAGATCCAGTGCAACCTCAAAACACTTGTTTTCTATGTATGCACTCATTATTGCATTCCAAAAAATTGTATCTTTATCACGAACTTCATCGAATAAAGCCATCGAGGATCCAAAATATCCAGTTCTTGAATACACAGTGAGAAGAGAAGTTGCAGCCCTCAGATCAGCAAAACATCCAACTTTAAGTGCCAAGGCATGCACTACTGTGGCATTTACAATATTGGGTTCCAAGGCAACATATCTAATCATATTAAACACATCTTGCAAACAACTATTTCTAAAGTCTTCTTGGATTCTCTGTGACATTTTGTAGAATGATTGGTGTGCAAAGTAGAAGTGAGCAGTGGCATTGGAAAAAGCTGTACAAGTTCTTGAAATAGAGGGCAAAATATTATGCGGCAAGCGCGATCGAAGAAAATATTTAAATGAATACATAGGCCATGCGCTTAAGATATAGTTAACATCAGGAAAATGCTTCTCTTATTCTTAAAAATCAATGCTAATTCGATTAGCAGATAGACCAAATCACACTTTCATCATATTTCATTCTCAATTTACCTCACTCGTTCAATCTATAAACTAGCTCAAATGCTCAATCGAGTCCTCTCATATTAAAGTTGGTTTCTCGTAACGTTTCTATTACCAACCGTGGAAATGAACCAAACCATCCCAAGAAATTCTCAATTTAATTTCCACACCACACTACTTGAATAGACAAACAAAATGTTTCTCAAGGACTCCACTCAAATTTGAGAACTCATTACTTAATGGGCCTTCAAGCCCATGGATATGCTCAATTAAGAGGCCGAGCCTTACCACTCTACCTATAAATGGGCCGTGAGTAAGCAGACTTAGGGGGTGTTTGAGCCCTATTCTTTTTGAAAAATGAATTTCGCAATAATTGATTGATGAGAAATGTACTGTTAAAAGAAAATGCAAAAAAAAATTGGTTTACGTGTAATATTAAAAAGAAGAGACAAAAAAAAAAAAAAAATGAGAATCAAACAAGGCCTTATAGTCAAATTATTAGGATTGTTGAAAAATAACAAAAAGAAAAGGAAAGAAATTCTTGATTTTCATCATTTTTTTTTTACAAAAACTTTATTTTTCATTTTTTTTGCTTTGAAACTATAAGTTATTTTATTTAATTTTTTTATGAAAATATAAAATCTCCATAATATATTTATTCGTGAATTACAATAACTTGGTTAGTAATAACCTCAAATTCATACTAAAACCACGATGATTCTTCAAATGCTTAATATTAAGGGAAAAAAAATAGAAATAGAAATATTATTTATTATATTGTTTAGCCACGTCCAATTACCAATACTGAATGCTAAATTAAGAAAGAACAATTTGAAACTCACATCAGATATCGTAAAGACTATCTTACCACACAGATTATTTATGTAAAATGATTAATGACTATAATAAACGTCTCGAAGTTGTATAGATAATCGTTAAAGCTTAAAATAATTATTTATTTTAATCAATTTGATAATGTAAATAAATTAAAACTAATTCATAATAGCAGCACAGCACAGCACAGCACTTGATCCTAGAACTCCTTACCCAGTAAATTCATGAATTTATAATAAAATAATTATAAATGTTAATCTTCCACGAACATAGATGTAGTTCATAAGCAAGTGTATTTAAGGGCTCTATTAACTAAAAGTCTTTGTTAATTAATTAATTAAGTAACATGCCAATTAAATAATTAATTTAATCAACCATTTCAATAATAATTAATCAATTTCAAGACTTCAAATCAAATCTCATTTTACTCATGGATCGAACTCAAATTATACATAATAAATAAATAAATAACTCGTACGTATGCACAATTTTAAGTTTATTCAAATTTTGCAATTAATTCATGGAAATTCCTAACTATAAAAAGCATTAGCATGAATAAATTTTTTGTTTAAAATCCTTTTATAAGATTCGGGTTCATCCACATGATTATTCTGCCCTACATGGATGGATAGTTTTGGCTGGTAGTCTGTAAAAATGCGTGATTGTAACATTTAATAAATTTATCGTACGAAATTTTTTGAGTCATAAAGTTTCTATTGGACGAACTAAAAATCATAAAATAAAGAATTATTAACCTTCGTTTACCGACTCTACTCGATATATTATTAAAGTTGGCATTTCTAGTGCAAGAAAATTGACTTTGTGTCTCTTAATTACATAATGAATTTTTAAAGTTGTATATAAGTCATTATTTTATGAAAAATTAATACAGAATTAATTAAAAAAGAACCTACAACAAACATAATTGGTTGACTTAAATTTAATATTTTATATTTCCAACTGGCATTTATTAATTTTGACTTATCTTTTTGTTTTTTTAAAAGTTTTTTTTTTAATTTATTGTTTTCCCCGAAATGACATAAATAATTGCTAATTATTATTAGGGAAAATTGCGGTCGTGGTCCCAAACCTTTCATTTTGTTGCAGATTACGCCCAAACCTTTTATTTTTGCGGTCAAAGTCCCAAACCTTTATATGTAGTTGCAGCGTCGGTCTCAAACCTTTAATTCCGTCCATAAAACCATCAGTCAACGTTTCAACAGTAATTTTGACTAGAAAAAATTGCAACGCTGGTCCCAAACCTTTTATTTTGTTGCAGATTACACCCAAACTTTTAATTTTTGAGGTCGAAGTCCCAAACCTTTATATATAATTACAGCGTTGGTCTATTTCACGCATTCCGTCCATAAAATTTTTAGTCAACGTTCAAACAGTAATTTTAACTCAAATGACATCTTAATTGATAAGTAAAATTGTCAAAACAAGTTATCCAAAAAAATGTTTGTTTTTTTCAAATCCTTCAATCTTTTCACAGACATCACATTATTATCATCGATACTCTCTGATCAGATAACAATTCGATCCGAATTGTTATAATAATCGAATCGATAAATTATTTTTATGACATGTTATTTGTCACTAAAATAAATAAATGAGAAAAAAAAATTAACAAACTGCATTTGGTACTATAATTTGTATATATTATTAAATAATTTTAAATTGATTAAAAATAATAAATAATATTAAAATAAGAAAATATTTTTTTCATAATATTTATGCTTAGACTTTGTCTAAATATGCCGGTTTGGGATTAGCGTTGCAATTTTTCATTTTTTATGGCATGTTATTTGTCACTAAAATAAATACATGA